GGTGGGCGGGGCGACCGGGTGGGCGCCCGCGGGTTGGCTGGGCGAGGCATCGGGGCTCCAGCCGGGCCAGGACGCCGCGTACCTCAGGCCTGTCAGCGTAACCCCGCGAGTGACCGTGGGTAATCTGCGCCCGCGTCCCTGTGGGAGCTGCCTTCCTCAACGCGGAGCGCTGTCTGTTCCCGCTTTCCTCATTCGTTTCGGGGCTCTGCATCCCGCGTCGGCCGGGAGCACCCCCTCCCTCCGGCAGCGGAGCATGGTCGCTCCGGGGAGTTATTGTTTCCGATTTAGGGTGCAGTTGAGGCGAGGAGAGGCGAACCCGGGGCTCCTCTGGGGGTGGGGGAAGCACTCAGGGAGCAGGAAGAGATGGACGGCGTGAAAAGTTTGGGGCGAGGGTCCAGGTCTTTAGGCTTGGGACGGTGACGCTGGTACCCCAGTTCCGCCAGCGTGGCCCCTCAGCGCAGGCTGGGGGTGGCGGGGGCCGGCGCACCTGCGCCTGTGGTCCGGGATAGTTGGCTCCGGTGTCCTCGGCGTTTGCCCGTCTGGCTGCGTACTGGGGCTCCGGCCCCCCACACCCCCGAGAAAACTGCCATCGTTGTGCCCCACAACCCCGCGTGTAGGCGTTTCGTGTAGGCGTTTCGTGGGCTCTTTTGTGAAGTACAGGCAACTGTGCCCGTCCATTAAGTTGGCTGTACCCGGAAAGAAAGCACCCCAAAGTTGCCTCTTTAACATAAAATCATTTTGCGAAGAAAGCAATTAAGATGCATCCAAAGTTGATAAATCTCTCCCCGCTGTTCCCACGGTTCCTCACTCTGGAAGCCGGGAGCTGCTTTTCTTTGTCCTGTCACATCTCTACAGATTTATTGTTCTTTGTTGTAGATACTATATTGGGAGTGCGAAGCTACCATTTTGAGTTATCCTGTTGGTTTTCTCCCACGTGACGTGCACAAACGTATTCTCTCTCTTCGCCTGTATTTTTGTCAAAGAGCCCCAGCTGAGAACTTGGGCCAGTAAAAGTGTCCTACGCTGCATCTCCACTATGTGTCATTTCTGGGATGGTTTTGATAGGCCCCATTTCTGGCTCTACTTTGTCTGTGCACTGGATTTGTGGGTCACTGTGTTACCGGGTGCTGGAATTGTGATGATGCTCTCCCTGTCAGCTATTCACTGTGCAGTCAGGACAGCGATGCTGTTGCAGTTAGGCTAGTGCAATAATTAAGGCAGGAAAAAGACACTGGAGAGGAGGGGCTCCCTGGTGGCTGGGGGCAAAATCCCAGCATTATCAAGCTATCTCAAGCTATCTGCAGCACTAGTTCGATCCCCGGCCAGGGAGCAGACCCACAGGGCACAGCAGACCTCTCCTGTCTCACCTGCTGCTCCCCTCAGCAGCGGATTTTGGTGGATCTGCCTGTTCTGCTTCCCACTCTTGTCTCTGGTGAACCCTCTCACCTCCCCACCTCTGGCCTACACCTCTGTTTTTGGATGCCAAAATAATTAAAATAAAACTTTAAAAAAAGGACGTTGGAGAGAAGCTAAGATCATTATTATTTCCAAGTGATAGAACTGTAGTAGTATGTATGTAAGTTGAAATTAATATGACTTCACAAATGAACTCTTTATGTTCTCACTTAAATGCACAGGCCAAAGTGGAAGGCTTTTCCCCATCTTAGAGGAAATCTTGAATCAATTTCAATAGTCTCTTTAATCATTCTTAGGTAGCAAGAATGATTAATTAAGAGCTCAATCTCATTTTAATAGTTAAAATAGCTTTAGTAATGAAAATGTCCAATATATTCCATTTAAAGCAAAAAAGAAAAAAAACTGTTTTTTCCCCTTGATCACCTCCAAATATGGTTATATCTCAATTACTAGTTAAATCCATGAGAGAAACTAAGTTCTGGGCAAAGAAAAAAAAGAAGGAGTC